CAAATCCATCACCGAGGTTTTGAAATTAAGCATAACACAAGCCTGAAGTGTCGGTTACTCTCAATTAGAGTAGACCAGTTCAATCACAAACACTTACAAAGCGTTGATCTTCCTCTTGATTCAGTGGGCAAATAGCGGAAACAAGACCATGTCTTCTCTCCCCAACCTGCCTCTGTGAGCCATAAATTACTCTGTATTTGGTATGTCTTGTCCGGTAAGGGACCAGGAACAGGAACGGCTCTCCATCCAAACCTTTTTGGTTCTGCCTCCAGCATGAAATGTCAAAGAAAAACCCCTAGAAACCTTTAAGGTGAGCCACTAGGTCGCATGCAGCTTGAAAGGAACTTTGTTCTTAACTTACTCTGTATTTGGTATGTCTTGTCCGGTAAGGGCCCAGGAACGTTTCAAAGTCCTTGTAGGATTGATGTCAAGAATCTTTGTCCTGAGAGGGAAGACGGAGGTGGACCCATCCCGTTTCAATCATTCTTTGGACACCCGTCAGAGATGCTGAGGCTTTGAACATTTTACGCTATTTTCAACGGCCTCGTTTTGTTCAATGTGACCTCGCTCCTCTCCCGTCGTGCCCAGCGAGAGGATCACGGCAGAGCACGCTCTCCCTTCCCCAGTCTGGGGGCATTTCTTGGAGATGAATCCCGTTTGAACTTTGGAAAAGGGGGAGAAAGAGCGCTCCCGTTTGGGTGCCTGAAGGAATGATGCTTTCTCCCCAGCCCCTGAGATCTTATCAGCAAAGTGATGTATGTTTGCAGCTGAGTTTACATCAAAAATTATTTCTGGGACTTCCTTGAAATGAATTATGGCAAAAGGAGCAAGGCTGAGGGGAAGATAAGGCTCTTTGAGTTCTCCAATATATTCTGTTTCGGTGTTTTTTATCTCATGTAACACAACCGTCCTCCATCTCGTCTGAGGCGCACCGGAAAGTGTCATAAACAGATGGTTATGCAGTTCCGCCAAAGCAACAAGATCTTTTATTTTTATTTTTAAAAAACCCAAAAGGGATTAACTTGCAGGTCATGGCATTGATGCAGGAGAATAGCCTTCAAAAGTTTCTTTCAAACGTGGGTGTCTGTGAAGACCAGAGGCTGCCTCAAACCGAGGGGGAATCATTCACCCCTCTAGCCCACCGTTCTGCTCTTTAGCTGCTCCGAAGCCAGCATTTTCCCAACGTGGTTAGACTACATCCCCCATCATCCCCCATCCGAGCCCTGCCATTGACTGCCCTGGCGGGAGATTAGGTGAATTGCCATTCGGTATCCTACAGCTGTGTTGATTTACACATCCCATGGTCCTCATCCAGCGTGTTGGGATTTCCGGTCCCACGCAGCTGGAGGTGCTTTTAAAGGCAGTGGTGTCATACAGCCTTGGCTCGAGAAAGGGCGTTTCTCGGCTCTGGCCTTGACTGTCCTTTCAGCCTTTCTGACTCAAGGTTGTAGCTTCTTTTATAGAGCCAGTCCCTCTCTGGTTCAGTCTTCCTCTTTTCTTGCTCCGTCCACTTTTCCCAATATTACTGCTTTTTCCAGCGAGCCTTGTCTTCTTGCGATAGGCGCGAAGCACGATAGCCTCTGTTTCCTCGCTTTTGCTTTCAGAGAGAGTTCAGGCTTGATTTGCCCTACTTGCTTATCTTTCTGGCAGTCCGCAGACTCCGCAAGAAAGAATAAAGCGGTATTTTCCACACACACACACACTTTTGAAACACTCCAGCTGAAGGCCATCCCATGAGAACAGCAGGTTTCGGGTTAGCACCCATTTATGGGGTTGGCTGCTACAAGAGAGTTTGTGGGCTTAGATTTCAGGCCATCCCTGACTTTTCCCGTCGCATTCCCCTCATAGGCATTATACATGGGTCTTCTTCCGGTTTCTCGACCGAGCTAACCCACCAGTTTGGACTCTGATCAGGGAAATCATCCCGGCTGCCTCTCTGGCCAACAAGCTGCCTCGCTCTCCAGTTCGATGCCTAGCATCCTCGAACAGTTGAGTAGGAAGGGGACCCTAAAGCCCATCTAGTCCCACCCCTTGCCCATGTAGGTCATCGACAGCTAAAGCTCCCCTGACAGATGGCCGCTCGCCCCCTGTTGAAAAACCGCCAATGAAGGTTGCCGAAGAAAATGAGGAGCGCCAGAAACCTTCCGGTGCATGGAAGCCTCTTTGCTTTGCTGGCCAAGGATCCTCTCAAGAGGAAGGTCTTCTAATGCCCTTTCCTCTATCCCCATTTTCCTGCTCGTAGGCCATCTGGAACATTCCCCAGGAACCAAGTTTAATGGGGGCCTTTTTCTTTGGCTCTAGCTTCACCCCACCTCTAAGCGTTTTCCGCTCAGTTTCAAGAAGTCTAGATCCACATAGTCCGGCTGCTCAGTCGTTTCCGTGGCTAATTGGGTTTCCGGTGTCCGGGAATGGCAGAGGGTGTTTGCACCTCTTGCATTTAGGAGGGCTTCGTTTCTGAATCTTTATTTGCCAAATAAATCCATCGGCTTGAACTCCGGTGCTGGGAGAACTCGCTAATGGAGCCTCCCTTGTAAAATGCTGCTGGCCCCATTAGGATCGTGCAAACACCACATCTATAAAGTGCTTGTTTAAAGCAGCTGCCATCTGATTATCACAAAAGATTTTGCAGGTTCTGAATCTTGAGGGGGAAGTGTCCTGTCATTAAGAAGGGAGATTTAAGCCTTAATAAAGGAGCTGCCATTTTTATAGCTGGGGAAAAAAACAAAAGACAACCCTGTATCTCAATTAAGCATACGTAATATAAAGTCTTAAGGAAGCAATGAAATAGGCCTAACACAATTATGCCTGCTGGCGACAGTGTAATTTAAAGGAAATCAGATTCCGTTAATGTTTCTTTACATTGTTTGAGAAGATGATGAGCTGGGAGTGAGTCCCTTAAGCCACTGTCCTTTGGAGAAGAACCCCACGGATAGAATGTGACCGGGGCCAGGCCGGTGGGCCTCCTCCCGCTGGAAAGATTGTGGGGCAGTCAAGTCAGCCCTGCATCGGCCCCTGACGGAGGTTGGTTGAATCGCCATTAGCTCCCTTAATGTCATTTCTCCATGATGGACTGGCAGCCTTCAGATCTGGAGTCGTCTGTTTCCAGTCGAACTTAAGAACATATGGAAGAGTATATAAAGAGCCCGTGCTGCTACATGAGATGAAGGGTCTCCTTAGATGTACCAGGGAATATCTTTGGTCTCTCCCAGCCCACATTCGCAACGGGGGGGAAAAGCAAAGTGTGCTGCTTATATACCAGCCCGTAGGGCTTCAAGCACTTCCTGGGCAGTTTAACTATTTAATGATGTAGGCGAGACTCTGCCCTCCCTCCAGCAAGCTGGGTACTCCATTTACCCGCCCTCAGAAGCGTGGAAGGCTCAGGCAACTTTCAAGGTTGGTCTCTCAGCTTATTGGGATTGAATTCAAGTCGCAAGCAGAGTCTCAACTGCAGTACAGCAGTTTAACCACTAGAGGGTCGGGGATTGCTCGTCCTCAATCGAGCCCCAAAAGCCATTAACAAAAACAAAATGGCGGAACGGATAACTGAAGAGCCGAGAGGACCTCTGTGCTCTGTAGGTGTAATATCTCGAAATGCCAGTCTAAACAGCCGTGTCTTCAATGATCTCTTTAAAGTATCCAGTGAAGAGGCCAGGCGAATTTTGGGTAGGACTTTGTTGCAAAGATGGGGGAGGCCAACTGCGGAGAAGGTCCCGGTTCTTGGTCTTCTCTTTCCAGGGTTAGTGACCTCTCCTGTCCATCCTGGGATGATCGAGTAGGTCGGACAGATCCGTGCAGTGTTTTGCTGCGCAGAAGGAGCCTGGGTGTTCTACTTTGTTTAT